TAGGCCTTTCCCGATTGCGCTCGTAAAATCCTAAAAAAGTGCTGGCAAAAATGGCTAAAAAGTGCTCAAAAAGTGCTCAAAATCTCAAAATAGTGCTCAAAAAGTGCTAAAAGTTGTGAACAGTTACCTCTAAGCTTTTCGTAAATATGTCAATTTTTACTGAAGTAATTAACAATCTATTTTGCGTAGTGTTATTCGACAGGTTGTTACGAAAGGTTGATAGAATATAGAACAATGATATTTTTAAAAAACTAAAGCCGGTTACGAATTGTAAATAAATTCAGCAGTACTACTACAAAGCCTAGACATCAGATGATTTAGAAATTTGAGATGACACACGCATGATACATCAGCCAATCAGAAACTTCTATTCTCACGCTCAGTAAGGATAAGTCCACGTGCCTTTCCATGACAACGGTCTTTTATTCTCGACAACGCTATTAGTTATTCAAATTTATGACCTGGAACACGATTCTCGTTGCGAGCCACACACAGTTTTTGCTTTAAAATGTTTTAGAAGACATATGTTGCTCGAAATTTGCTCGAAATGTGAAATATTGCTCAAATGTTGCCCAAAGTGCGAAAAAGTGCTTAAGGGTGCTCAAAATGCAAAATAGTGCTCCAAACTCAAAAAAGTGCTCAAAAGGTGCTCAGCGCAATCGGGAAAGGCCTAATTGCGATGCGTTTCACCTAAAGTTTAGCACCATGTCATACTGACTTGACAGTTAACTCACGGCGTGGGATAATTTAATTGAACTGGTCCTCAGTTGACTATAAGAAAGGAGACGTTAATGGGTGATTTATATTTTACCAAGTTAATCTAAAGCAAACTAACCAGAATTAAAAGCCGTGAACAGAAATTTTTATTGAGTATCTTGAGCATTCTTTACATGTCGTAAATCCCAAGCAACAGCGATGGTAACGCGATACGTGGGCCGGGCGGCCGGCTGCACCGCTGCAGGCTACTTGTTGCTTCTACTAAATTTAAAATGGAGATTCTAAAGATTTAAAGTCTTTTAGAAGTATAAAAATATCATGATAACCAAGTTATAACTGTTTGAGTAAACAAAGTAACAAAACGTTTGGAAGTATAAAATTCTCTTCTCCAGGGTTTGTCTTCAGAGAGACTCAGTCTAAACGGTACCGAGAAGAAAGAAAGAAAAGATCCGGTGGAAATTCTGAACTCTTGGCATGCATGATCAATCTCATTTCGCTTCGTTCTTTTGTGTGAATGGATATCTTAGCTTTAACCAAAGACGCTTTGGTTTTGAGCATTATAACAATACAATTGTGTTGTTAAGAGACATTCAATTGCGCGTATCAATAGGCATCTTTTGTTGCTTAAGAAACCTTTAATTAGTTATCTGTCAATGGTTGTCGGTAAGTCAAAAATATAATCTCCTCTTGCAAACAACACGAAGATCGATCATTTTAAAGTGGCTTCTCAACCCGTTTAGTTTATGCTCCCCTATGTTCATCAAGTAATTTAACACCCAGGCCTTTTTGTACCTGAATTTTAAAGTCATACTGGTTGAGGACACGGGTATAGTGATGAGTCATAGTAACTTGAACAACCCAACTGAAGTATCAACGGATCTGGAAATTACAAACACAAGTGATGAACAATTTGAAAACAAGGTAAATTCACAACAACTGAAACTTTACTGGCAGTACCGTACTTGAAAATTGGCGAGAGCATTGCCCCTGTAATGCCCCGCCTGAGCTCCGCGCGGTACTAGTCAGACAGTTAATATACTTCAAGTTTTCTCCAAAATATTCAACGGCAATTTCTATTGCAAATTTACTTTCGACTTTCTTTGCAGCGTCAGCCTTTCATTGGACCGAAGGGTAAAAATGTTTCTCGTTCCTAGCCACGATATTTTTCCAGCTAAGGATTGGTTGGTAGTAACGTCTTTGTTTTCATACAAATACCATGATTATTTAATTTTTGCTTGTAACTGTTGGACGTCATGTTGCACTGAAGAGAGTACGAAAAATCTAGCGTGCTCAAATTCAACCGCCGCCGGGCTGATGCGGTTTAGTGCCCTTATTTCTTTGTATTTTATTTGATCAGTGTTTAATTTACTGAGAGGTAATCATATTTCTTATTTGAGGAAAAGACCTTCTTACAATTCATAATTAGACGCTGTCAATCACCAAGCTGAATCTTCAAATCTGGAATGCCGGAATCGTTAGCACAAACCCTGTTGCGTAAAATGACCTTGCTACAATATTAGGGAAAATTTACGTGCTAAAAAACAATGAAGAGCTTCGTTTAACAATATGGAGTTCAGAAATTACCAGCAGTAAAGAGATTCTGAATATGAATTCATGATTTCGTCACTATGCAGTTGATGTTCCTGATTCTCACTTCGACAATCAAACTGAACGTCTTCCGTATGTTAATAAATTCTGCCGTGGAAATAATGAAAGGAACCCGACCGATTCTATAGGATACAAAAGAACAATAATACAGGTTTACTGGGGAGAGCTGAAGCTGTTGGTTTTTCCTTTTATAAATAATTCATAGTGCAAACTAATCCAAGGAGTGAGAGCCGGTACGCGGAAAACAAAATCGTCAACTGAGTTCAGTTCTCACTCACTTCAGTAATATGTATGGCTTTCGCGGTTCTACTAAATCAAAACCGTTTAGCCCTCGATTTCAAGAGATGGAATATGTTTCCAACAATCCAGCAATATATATCTCCAAAGTGACGGTAAATCATGCGTTACAAGTCATCAGCTTCTAATTCAAGCAACCCTCGAGTTTATAACCATGGTTGAATAAGAGACTTGCTTGTAAGTTATATTTACAGAAACCTCTGAAAAAGTTTCTCATTGCCATCTCTCTCTCAACAGATACAACTTGATGGATATACAAAAGAGTCTTCCAGTCAGGTAAATAAAATACAGTGAATAATTTTTGCCTGAATTTTTCATTTGTGCACTGACAATCCGAAGGCAAAAAAAATGTTGAAAACCGCAGTTTATTATTCGTTAATATTTATGCCTCTTTAAAAATAGTAATTCTAAGACTTCATGATTGTTGTCAATATATGATTTCAAACAGGTGAATCTTACTGAGTCATGTTAAACTAGTAAAACCAAAGTCCTTTTAGACCGGCCACATTTTCAAGAGGTACCTGAATATTATGGCTTGTTAGAAAAAGTTCGCTGCGGGAAACATCTCTGTTGAAAAGAATAGCGTAAGCTAGCACCTGCAAACGTTGACAACAAAAAAAGACCGCTGTATTCTTCAGTTCTTTAGACCTACTATTCCTTTCACTTTTCCTACTTACTTCAAAGAAAAAAATCTTTGAAAGAGCATCATATCAGAATAAAAGTATATAGACTACCTTAATGTTGGGCGTTTAATAATGGAGATAATGATATGGAATATGTTATTTGTGCTACGGTTCTACATAACAAGCACCCGGCCTACAAGCCACATTTACATATAAATTCAGATGTCCCGTTCTTTTCTTTATCACAGCGCATCTTTTTTTCTCTACTTCAAAACAGACTGCTAAACAATTTTTTCCTCCTCTTTTATTGATTTTAATTTAACAGTTGTCCAGCCCCAATTTAAGCTCCTCATCTCAAAGACAAACAAGCGAAAATGATGAGACGGCGAACATTTCAAGAGATAGCAGCAGCTTGTCTTACTCTGTATTAAGCGGCCAGCAGATGGCTAAAAAACCTTTGTATGGTACACCAAGAACCTCAACACCAGAGCCACGAACATTTGTGAGCCCAAGACATGAAAAGCAAAATGTCAGCGGTGTTTATCATAAAGACATCATATCAGAAGAGTCAACAAGAAAGCAGCTCCATGTAAGTTACACTGAACTGTGGTAAGTCGGGTCCAATTATCACCTAATGCAGTTATCATCTAAGAAATATAACAGGAAAATTCATGAAAAAGATTTAAAAAACATTGTTATTACTAGTCTGTTGGTAATTACGGAGCAGAAGGAATGCCTTGATAAGAATCCATTAGGACTAAATGTAAAGGCAAAGACATCAGGGAGGCCAATAAGAGAGCTGTAGGGGTCTGTAAATGAATGTAAACACAAAAGAAAAGAAAAAGAAAAACACCCAAAACATGGTAAAAATAGCTGCTGAAGAAACAAAGCTTAGACTTCATTATAAATCAATGACCACCATGGGGCAAAGGACTACAATGCAAAGAATTTCGCTGCGCGTCCTGCATCGACCTTAAATTTATTTCACTAAAATTTAATACATTCTTTGCATTATTTCTGTCGCTCCAGCTTCACAGGAGCTGTCAACTGTTGCTGTCTTCGTCGGCTGTGTTTAGATGGAACTAGATGGTAATGTGATCGGTTAGCTCTTTATTACTGAGTTTATAGAGTTCTGAGAGTTCAAACAAAGCTCGCGAGCACGTGCGAGATGGGATTCGAGAGCACGTCGCTTTATGGCAAATATACTCGGCAATTCAAGTTATTGAAAGCTAGAAGTACGCTTTTAATTTCTTTAATGATTTGGACATTTTGTAGGGACATTCAGTGGATAAACTTTCCTTCTCTAGTGCCAAAGTCCCCTGAGGTCGCTCTAAAACTTTCTCTTTAATCTAAACAAGAGCTTACTAATGCCTCATTTCTTTCTATTTCAGAACTCTGCATCATCAAAGCTTGTTTTGACCCAAGAAAATCTTCACCGTCCGTTGTTACAGTTTAAGACAACAGAGATGGGTTCCTATCGCGACAAGACTGGCTACAAGTCGCGGGAAGACTTGTACTTTGATATTTTGCAGCGGATTGAAGACTTGAGTTGGAATTATCAAAAGCTGGAGACAGAATATGACTTCTTAGAGAGATTCAAAGACGAACACAAAGAGGATCTAAAAAAAGTTAAAAACTGCAGCAGGCATCTTAGAAACAGAGCTGATCTTAATACATCTTAAGGAGTACATCAAGGAATTTGTGTTTTGATGCTAAAAACTGAATCTAAACATCGCGTTATTTTTTTCATGAGCCCTGTCTTTCGGAAGAATGATCGACCTTGTTTCTTCGCAAATGTAGCCTTTGTTGTTTCCTTAAACTGCAAAAATAGATTTCAACCACCGTCTTTTATATTTGTTGATATCGTATACAAATGAATAATTCAGTGATTTAATATTTTCTATTTTCCTTTTTAATTCAGGCAAAAGCAGAGAAAGTCAGGTTTTGGGACACATTGCCGTTATAAAAAAGATTTTGTTGAAATAAAAAAATAAATTTCTTTAAAGATCGCAATAAACTATGATTGCTATTGATATTCAGTTCATCTAGCCTGATTACAGACGCAACTAGAGCTAAAGCCATCGGTTTCAAACTGGTACTCAGCTTACCACTTTTTACGAGTCCGATCACGAATAAGTTGGCTATGGACGAGTGGAGGGTTTATAGGGGCCATATGCGTTGTTTTCAATCTCTTTCAATCTCAATCTTCTCTCTGAAGAGTCAAGAAGTTGCCCTTGGGCCTGAGCTATAAAACAAACTTTGTTGTTTTAGTGTACAGCCTAGTTCATTAGCTAATTAACTTATTATTAATAAGTGATAAGCATTGCCTGGTTTGGCCAAAGAGTTCTGTATGGTAGATTGATTATTTCATTAGAATGAAATTAGAATAGAGAAGATTACGTCACAATCCGAATTGGAGAAAGCAGAGAACGAACAAAATCACATTTTAACGCTGAAAAAGGATATACACGTACGAAAAAGGACCTCTGTGCTAATTGTAGGTATGACTGCATGATTACATGTTTTATCGGCTTAGTCTTGAAGGTATAGCTGGACTGCGGCCTGTCATATTATTTCGGTATTCTTTTTTTCCAAACAATGTAAACCATGTGCGCGCGCAGTTAGTGCCGCCAGTTGACAAAGTCAGTCCTAGATTTGGGGGAAAACGAATGACGTATAAAAAGTTAGGTTTGAATATCAGTGAAACATTCGTACACACGGCTGAGCATTGTAAAAAATTAATTTTTGCAACTAACGTCCCAAACCATTAAAACAACAAAGTTTTTAACACAACTAAAGCTGAAAGGCGCCGACCACACTTTCTTTTCTGAAATTTAACTGATGAATAGTAACAGCACAGAAAGTTTCACCACCTCAGTCGGATGAAATGTATGCCGGTTTATTACGGGGCCCCACCACAGCCGTTTGTTTAACTACGTTGATTGGTAATTGGAATGAAAGTTAATGCGACTGTTACCGGTATATGCTAGGCTTAAAACATTTAAATGCTGGACTTGTTACTGTTATTTATAGTTTGGAATCGCAATAAGTAATCTCACCCTAGATTTGTTGCCAAGCAACCATGGCATGCATCTCCCGCGCCATATCTGATGCTCATGGTCAGTAGGGTCCGCAGTGCTATGTTATTCAGGTCGCGGTGAGCTGATATATCAGTCTAGTCAGTCTAATTCAACTTTGTTAGAAGGTACTTTTAAAATAGCCTACTCTTAGTTAGACGAAACAAAGTAAACCGAATAAGTCTATTGACTATTTTCCAATTCCCCATAATACACTCTGTCTGCCCCCCAAATTTTGCATAACTTATTGTCTTAAAATGCTCTTGGGAAAATGCAATACTCCCAGGAGCATTTAAAAACAATGGTTTATGCAAAATTTGGGGGGCAAACAGAGTGTATTATGGGGAATTGGAAAATAGAGAATGAGAAGTGAAACCTTGCTTTTTTGTGGTTGTCTTCACTATCTGACTGATCAAATATTTATAAAGTCGGTACAGATAAAGGCTTGACACCTAGATTACGATATTTTCGGACGAGTCTACTGCCGGTCTCTCGCTCTCTTTCCAAATCACTGAACCACGGGTTTAAAAATCTTTTTTTAACTCTTACTCTAGCTTTGACTTTTTTCACACGAATTGTGATTAGGCAACAAGAAGTCAAACACTTACGTACAAAAAAGACAAAACTTAACTCGGCTGAAACTTCATGAGTTGACGCGATCTTCGCGAAGTTTAATACCGTAAAGTTCCCAAAGTAACGACCGCCCCGAAAGTAGCGATAATATTTCAAATATTTCAATACCGGTTGTCGCTTCTTTCCTCCGAAAGAACCGACTTCAAAAGTGTTATCCCTTCTTGCGTAGAAATAACGGAAATTATAGTTACAAGCTTTACCAAACTGATTCAAGATCCATTTTTAAACGGTGACAATAAGTGATTTTGTTTGTACAATTGTCGCGACATTGTTATCGTAACTCAGTTCGTACGGGCCTTGTATGATACACGTTTTAGCTGCCCAAAAAAGTAGCGACCTCCTGAAAGTAGCGACCCTCCGAACGTAGCGATACGAAAAGGCTGCTAAATCCGAAGGTAACAAGGGTTGTTACTCTCGGAAATTTACGATAATCTCAGTAACCACGGAAACCGAAGTTCTCAGTGCTACCACTGTTAACAGACAATTTTGAATAAAATCTTATTGTAAACCGGGAGTAGCCTCTGAATTTCTCCCATAATGACTGTTTACATCACAAAAGTCAAGTAAGTCTAATTTAACTTTTTTTGATACATAGCTTTGATAGTGGCAAAGAGATAAAAACGAAAGCCATCATGACCCAGAAAAAACTTGCATCGCTGGAATGACAGTGAAAAAGATCTATATTCTCGTAAAATAAATGCGATTTTGTGTTTTTATTTGGTGTTCGGGATTTATAGCTTCAGTGCGTGCAAAAACTTTGAAATTCATCTAATTTGGGTTAACACTTTAGTACAGCAGCCTAGGAAGTCAATAAAGTATAATTCGCGATTGAACAAAGCAAGCGATTAGGCGGATTACTGAAAGAGAATACTCCAATAACCAACAGAGCATAGAGCCTTTGATGCATATTCGGAAACAACAGAGAGTGTACTGTATATTTAAGTCCAAGCAAGTTCACTCAAATCATCATTAACATAGCCATGGAAAATTAAATAGATCTCTTTCTTTGTATTGGCTGCTAAGAGAAGTTTGTTTACACCAAGTCACACTTAGTAACAGTCTGCTGTACTACAGATGATATGTGATATGAGCCAGTCATATAAGGGGCTAAAAAAACTGGAACTTATTTTCTGCTCGACCAAGTAATATGGTAAAAAAGAAAATCTGTGGATGCAGTTTTCTCTTTGATCCAGTTTACATTTGGCACTTGTTTCAGGAAAGCAGGTTTCTTTTTTTTTTTTTTTTCAGTTTTCTTTTTTTTTGTGGACCGTTCAATAACTCAGCAGCAGCTGCAATTGTAAAAGAGGTATTTTTAGCCTATCATAATAAATGTTAACCACAAACTGTGATATGGCTTTGCATGTGAGACTGAAGACCCCACAGTTAATGGAATGTTTAAAATTTAACAACCTCCCATTTATTTCCATGTCACCTGTCTAAGTGAGAGGCAGAGGCAAGTAACTAGCTTAAATTTGCTCNAAATGTTAACCACAAACTGTGATATGGCTTTGCATGTGAGACTGAAGACCCCACAGTTAATGGAATGTTTAAAATTTAACAACCTCCCATTTATTTCCATGTCACCTGTCTAAGTGAGAGGCAGAGGCAAGTAACTAGCTTAAATTTGCTCAAAACTAAAAATACTGTTAAGAAAAAAGTCTGATAATTTCGCAAAGCATTTAATAATAGCGTTTTCTATCGCATTTCACACATAAGCCTGACACTTTATTTTGAATTGAGAGCTTCAGAAAAAAGCAGTGAGTAATTTACACATTCATAGTATGCCTGCTTTTGCTAATAATTCATCTTTTCACTGTTAATAAAAAACTGTAATTGAAAACCAAGGCTATTAAGAATTCATGATTGTATTATATTTCCATGACCTAAATACTAACGAAATACGTAAACGTTCTGCACCATTCTTTTTCTTTCTTTTTCTGTTTATTCTTTTGGTTCTCACAAGATGTAATTTCTCTCAAATCGTTCTCGTCTCAATCAAACAGACGAGCACGTGTCTTTTCAGACGACCGGAAGTAAAAGTATCAAGACGGAGGTCTTCCTTTGAGCCAATCAGAAGACAGCTGATTGCCTTCTACACCAATAGACAGTCGAGGGGTGGTGTGGCTGGTTCGTCACTAAGCAACGGGCGACGACGCCGGATATAAAGCGATTCTGGTTACACTAAACAGACATATTTTCGCCCTCAGCAAGAACAACTTGTAGAAATTGTTCGAAAATCTACAAGTTTGTTGGCGTAATTTTTCGAGAAGAGGTTGGCGCTGTCTAACACGCTCGATATGACTCAATCGTTTGTGGAAACAGCTAAATATCTGTCGTCCTCGACCTTCGATCCTCCGCCATATCTGCGGCCTTCCGGTGGACCTTACGAAACAACATACACAGCTTCGTTTCAAACAGGCAGACCGTACACATCGCCTCACACGTTCAGGCCACTCTCAAGATCTTTTGAATTCCCATCTAAGATCTTAAACGGTTCATCTTCTGGATTGGAACATTTGCCATACACTGCTGTGACACAAAGAGCCATACATAAGTATACACCTCAACAATGGAGAACCTCGAACGTTTTGAATGTTTCATCTGGTGAGAAGGAGCGAGCAACTGCAGAGAGGCTACGGGATGAATGTTCGCGTCTTCGAACGGAAACAGCTCTTTTAACTCATAGAACACAGACGGACGTGAACAAGAAGCTGGAATATCGCATTAGTGACATTACATACTGGAAGACCGAGTTGGAGAAGCAGCATGCGGAAACTGTGGCTGAGATCAAGGCATTACAAGCGTTCATCGGCCGCTTGGAGAAGGCTTTAGCCGCTACTGAACGGCCTTTGAACGTATCTAAGCAATGCTTGGAATACAGAGAAAGGAGAGTCAAGGTCGATCTTGTGCATGATAATGTGGAGACACACATAAGCAAGGTAAGATGATCTCTAGTCAGGTCTATTGCTGGCGCCAGCAACGCGTAGAACCTTGTTTAATCAACAGCTGTTTTTTTTTAATTGATGCTTTAGCCACACTTCTTTTCCCTTATTTCAATAATGATTTAAGCACAAGTGGGAAAGTTGCAGTTTTTGTCTGGTTTAGCGTTTTAATATGGTAAAAAATTTAATAAATGCTCAGAATAGTTGAATAGAAGTGCTGAGTTTTGCAGACGGTCTTGTTCGAAGTCCCTGTGTTTATTGGGTGACAAAAATATTTAATTGTATAGCACCGGAGCAGTTAAAAATATTGGCGAGATTTCGGTAACAGAGATCAATAGTTTATTATGCTAATTTAGATCCTCTTGGAAACCGATTTGTATTAAGTCACATGAATGATTTTGTTTTCCATTCACTTTGCCCTCACAACAGCGTTATCATGACTAAAGTGTCACCGGATTGATTTTTAAAATTCCCTTCATTTCCGTGATAACGAAAGGATCCTAAAGGCGCTAAATAGTTATTCTCGCAAAACAGGGGGAGACTTAAACTTGTATCCATTTTTCTTCTGATTTAGTAATTAAGCGTCACTAACGCTGACTATTGTTTATACAACAACGAAATGTGAACACAAATTCTCTTCTTCGACCGAAGCGATAGCTTGACCTTATTTTTCTTTGTTATAATTTCCTAAACATATATTTATTATAAGGACCCTGCATTATAAAGTTCTGTTATTTTTACCCCTAATTTTGGTAATTTTTTTTATGCTTTTTTAAATTTGCCAAACAATGTGGTTGTTATGACAGCCAGCTATTCGTGCGTGAAATGTTTATATGTATACTTTTTACAAACTATACCGAAACGTTTAAATATAATTAAATTAACTTTCCACGAGTGTATTTTTCTTGCAGTGTATAGAGAAATTCAAGTTATAAAAAACGTTCAGTTTGACTCTCATACAAAAAGAAACACCGCTTTGTTTCGGGTAAAAATAAGGAAACTCAGTCAGCAATAGTCTTCACCATTGCTTTGTTTTTTAGGAAGTGGAAATGATTGAGAATGTGCGCGCTTTATTGAAGAAAACAATGGACCAAGCCCATGAACAATTGTGGTAAGTTCTTTTCCTCTCCTTTGGTGCCATTGACACCACGTGCTATGAAAGTAAACATTTCTGATAAGCCTTCAGATTTCTTTTTACATTTGTTACGTTATTATTTACTGGTCTACTAGTCTACCTGACTAGCATTAAAATTTTAATCTTCGTCTGTTGGAAATTTAGACAATTGTTTTAAAACTTTGCTGTTTAACCGCAATTCAACTTTTTACAATATGTTGCTTAGCAGTTTTAAACGTTTTCTCGTTTAAAATACGGTACACCTGAACCCCTTTCCCTTGCTTGATTCTATTGAGAATGTGCTACGAACTCAAGACAGGTTCTTTTCTGGGGTGTCTAGTCTGAGGTGGTTTCCTTGTGAATTTTTAAATAATCTTGAATTATAAACACCTGCGATTAACTATTCTATGCTTTCCCACAATATTTCAGGTTGCTACGCTCTGCTAAAACTCTGTTAGAAAAGGATCTTGGCGACAAGTACGGGTCCCTCCAGATAGATGGCAAATGCTCTACGCTGAACAACTTCTCCAGGGACATTCATTTTGCTCCTCATTCAGTCACTATTCAACAACAGTAAGCTTCATGTGCTCATATCTCCTCCAGTGTGCCTTATTTATGATTGTGTGAAAACAATTTTCAAACGTAAAAACACCTACTGTTAATGTCTAAAAAAAACCCATTTTTTTAAGGAGGCCGAATTATTGTACAATGTTATTTTTAAAAGTTACCCCAAAAAACAAAAGTTAAAATTTTTAAAACATCCATTGCAGAGATGCAGGCTGTTTTTCCTTTTAAATCGAGTTATTTCTAACTGTATCATTGTCCTTCGTTCTTTGTGATTTCAGTTCCTTCACTCCTGATGAATGGGAAGCGTACTCTTCAGAGAACATTGCTAAAGCTGAGCGAGAGCGTAAAGCCTCGGTGGCTTTACGATCAGAAATCAATGGAATCCTCATGCAGACCTATGTTGATCTGAGAAACATCTTTGAGACCGTTAACAATGAGTTCACCAAACGCATTGAAGAGACGACTATTGCTAAAAAGTCACTTGAGAAGGAATTAACAAAGGTAAAGTACTTGCTCTGAGTCTTGTCTTTTTTTGCCTTAAGCATTTTAGCCTCTTCTAAGAAAGAAACACTGGATTCCTTCGAAGGGCAAGACTGACAGTCAACCAGAATATGATGTTTTTTTGTGGAGGAGCAAAGTCCTGGAATTGAGTGTTCACGCTTGAAAACCCTGGAATGGAACTCCTGACTGCGCTAACTACAGCGCCCAGTCTAAAGAATCTAAAGGGCTGCTGCATAAACCCACCCCTTTGGTTGAGATTTTTTCCGTTACTGTTCAACATTACTCTGATTAAACAAGTATTTTATTAGGTCCTAACCCCAGACTTTCTTTCTTTATTAAGGTTATGGATGAGATAGCGTCCATGGAAAACAACATCCGCGATCTCAAACAAGCGATCGCGGACAAAGAAAATCCTCTCAAAGTTGCTCACACCAGATTGGACAAGCGTTCATTAAGACCTAATGTGGAGCTGTGCAGAGACCCTGTCCAGTACCGCTTGGTCGGTGAAGTCGGGGAGATCACCGTTTCTATTGATCGCTTGCGCATGCGTTTGGCTGAAGCTGAGGCCTCTTTAATGGCGTTACTTAGGAACAAGGAACGTTTGGAGGATGATATCGAGGTTAAGACCAACAGTCTGTTTATCGACCGCGATCAGTGCATGGTGATTCGCCAGCAAGTCCGTCATATTTCTCACTAATGACTTTGGAAAAGTGAATGATGAAAGAGAACATAAGAGGGCACTGTTTTAAAGATAAAGTTGTGTCAATGTTGAAAACGAAATTTATTTTCCATCCGCACTGGCAATTTTTTTTACTGAAATCAATGTATCTTTCGCTAAGTTTCTTTGCCCAAGAAATATCTGCCGGATTATAGATAAATCGAGTTACTTTACTATAGAATTACTGGTTGACACACTCATTTCCATAAGGCAACAATAAAGTAGTGTATAAAGTGTTATTTCAAGCCTTTTATAATTACTTTATACGAATCAAAGAAACTAAAACGAATAAGGTTCAAATAGGGTTCATCAGCTGTAAAGATACGTTGACGAAATTCACTTTTCAGGCCACTAGTGTGATAATACACTAAGCATGCACAAATGAAAACACGTCACTACTTAAAATTGCAAAGTTATGAACTGAATGTCTGGCGTGAAAGTGAAGTGAAAAGCTGTATGAGTTTGTAAAATAACATTTAAGAAAACACTAAATCGGAGCTTAAAGATGTGAAAGCTTGGGGCTTTGAAAATGAAAGGGAAGATGGGACTGGGTGCTTGATCTCAAACTGAAGGGGTAACCTCGAGCGAGCTGAGAAAATGTATTTTAACTTCTTTTTCAAAGCGCCTTGCTAGAAATCGTATATTGAAATTATTCAGTATGCTAGTGTTAATATATTCTGTATGAAATCTTGAATAAATCACTTTTTTACAACTTACTTGGTAGCAATTCTTACTTCTTCTGTTGAACGTAGCCACAAAACTAGCTGTAGAGATATGAAACAGTATGCAACTAAGTTTACTGAGAGAAGCCGATACTAAATAAGGACTCTTACCCACCCTACTTCACCAGCTGGAATATGGAGAGGAAAGTCCTGTGCGGCTTCTATCCTGGTCTGCTATCACATAAGACTACACGCGAATTGCAAATTCTAGGTTCTTGAAATGATCCAACACAGAAGTGGAAGGGGGAAGTTACATTCGTTACGCCAGTCACATTTTGATTTTAATTTAGATTATTTGATAGTTCTGATATTTGGGTAAGTTCTTGTAAGCTCGATTCCGCCTTGACTAGTACTAAGGTCACAACAGGTCGTATCTCTCCCCCAGGTTCCACGCGGCATAAGCAGATAGGGTCTGGGGCAAACAGAGCAGGTGTTGCCAAGCATGACACCATGTGACACTTTTCAAACCACCAGGTGGTAAAACATGCTTAAGTAAGAACAGAAATGCAAATTGTAACTGGCTGAAATGAATAAAAGCATTCTCCTTTGCTTAGATTGTGGTCTGGAATCTATGTGCGTTTCAGCAGCCGACCATATCAGTACCGCCGGTGCCGATCTGGTTTTTCGATATGCATCATTAAATAAGGTTATCAAATTCATGATTTGGTAGGCAAGTTTAGGACGTGAATTTTACATAGGTAAGTTTTACTTGTTACGTCGATTTAAAAATATAAAGGATTTTGAATTGCCTTTCACTCTTCTCAAAAATGCGAATTAGTTTTATGCTACAAGTTTATCACAACGGCTTTCACTAGGATTGCTTCAACTTGTTTCCGGTTAATTTTCGTCTCGATTTTTGTAGTTGATAAGAATTTGCCATAGAAGAAAAACAGACTAGCTTCTTTTGTATTTTGGCTTGTGTTTCTTTAAACTCGATAGTTTGCGAGGGTGTCTGGGATTGTTAACAGACAGTTCATGATGCACCGGTCCGAAGCCTTACCTTTGTTTTCGTCGTTTTCACGGGAGAGAAAAAAACTAAAAATCAAATTGTTAGTGTTCAGATGATACCAAGAAAGCGAAAATTAGATTTTTCTTGAAGCCGCGGGCTCATATTTCTTATCGAAGGGTTCTTTCTGTTGACGAAAAATCTAATCTATGTGTAATATCTGCAATTACAATTAATAATCTTGATCATTGAGTTTATCAATATGCTGATAGGGCGTAGGATGTCATATTCAGCTTCGTCTTTCCATTTATAAGACCAATAGATTACACCATTTCTTTCAAGAAGAGCACTAAATTTAATGATGGAAAGTATTTTCGGAATTATCACCGGTACAGAGAACACATTATTCGCTTCCAAAATATTGAGAATCTCTGTTAGATCCTAACAAAACAATCCGCGGCTTAGTCTGCCGAAATTGAATATATAAATGTCTTCATATTATTTTTTCATATATTTCTGGCAGAAAAGTAAACTTTGACTTTCTCCTCTTGATGTTTTATCGTCGTTTTATAGAGATAGTTCAAGTTAGTCAAGTTTTCCGTATTTTGTGATCGAATTAGCTTCCTGTCTAACACAGGCAGACCAAAGTGAGATGCAGACTGACCAATTAAACCGATTAAACGGCGAACAGACTCGTGACTGGATCAATCTAAATTGATTTTTATTTTATAGAAAATGAGATGAATAGCATTTTCAAAAAATAATAAATATAGGAGCTAACTAAAATTACTCTAAACGAATTCCGAGTGATCTGGGAGCCTTTCTTAAGCTCCTGATCGGAGTGGCTGCCGCTCACATCTAACTCAAGCCAAACAATTTGCAGCGTTTACTGTTTCGTCCTATGTCGATAGCCTTGGCGTTGCGCATGCGCTTGTAGTGGTTTAAACGCTTCTGCTCGTTTCCGACAGCAACAACAAAAGCGACCTTCAGATCCAGCATGGGGGCAGGCTATCAATTGACAGGAACGGACGAGCATGCTCATGTCCGTCTTGCCTACTGGTCTCCTTTATGCTGTTCAGGGTGGAAAGCCAATACTTCAGTTTTTCTTATTTTCGGACGAGCGTACTCGTCCATCTTTTATGGGTGTCGCTCCCCTGAGCCTTTAGATTGAACTTTGAAAAAAAAAAAAAAAACGGCCGTTGATACAGCCCACCCAATCTAAAATAACACCGAACAGACAGCTAGTGGTATTAAAGTACAGTCGCAGACTAGACAGGAATTAATCAAAAACTGCCGTGTTCACCCTAATTCTCCATCCCTTCAAACTTTCCGCGATCAGTGCATGGTGATTCGCCAGCAAGTCCGTCATATTTCTCACTAATGACTTTGGAAAAGTGAATGATGAAAGAGAACATAAGAGGGCACTGTTTTAAAGATAAAGTTGTGTCAATGTTGAAAACAAAATTTATTTTCCATCCGCACTGACAATTTTTTTTACTGAAATCAATGTATCTTTCGCTAAGTTTCTTTGCCTGAGAAATATCTGCCGGAATACAGAAAAATCGAGTTACTTTACTACAGAAGCACTGGTTGGCACACTCATTTCCATAAGGCAGCAATAAAGTAGTGTATAAAGTGTCTATTTCAAGCCTTTTATAATTGCTTTATAGGAATCAAAGAAACTAAAACGAATAAGGTTCAAATAGGGTTCATCAGCTGTAAAGATACGTTGGAGAAATTCACTTTTCAGGCCACCAGTGTGATAATGCACTAAGCATGCACAAATGAGAACACGTCACTACTTAAAATTGCAAAGTTATGAGCTGAATGTTTGGCGTGAAAGTGAAGTGAAAAGCTGTATGAGTTTGCAAAATAACATTTAAGAAAACACTAAATCGGAGCTTGAAAATGTGAAAGCTTGGGGCTTTGAAAATGAAAGGGAAGATGGGACTGGGTGCTTGATTTCAAACTGAAGGGGTAACCTCGAGCGAGTTGAGAAAATGTATTTTAACTTCTTTTTCAAAGCGCCTTGCTAGAAATCGTATATTGAAATTATTCAGTACGCTGGTGTTAATATATTCTGTACGAAATCGTGAATAAATCACTTTTTTACAACTTACTTGGTAGCAATTCTTACTTCTTCTGTCGAACGTAGCCACAAAACTAGCTGTAGAGACATGAAACAGTATGCAACTAAGTTTACTGAGAGAAGCCGATACTAAATAAGGACTCTCACCCACCCTCCCTCACCAGCTGGAATATGGAGAGGAAAGTCCTGTGCGGCTTCTATCCTGGTCTGCTATCACATAAGACGACATGCGAATTGCAAATTCTACGTTCTGGAAATGATCCAACACAGAAGTGGAAGAGGGAAGTTACATTCGTTACGCCAGTCACATTTTGATTTTAATTTAGATTATTTGATTCTGATATTTGGGTAAGTTCTTGTAAGCTCGATTCCGCCTTGATTAGTACTAAGGTCACAGTAGGTCATATCTCTCCTCCAGGCTCCAGGCGGCATAAGCAGATTGGATCTGGGGCGAACAGAGCAGGTGTTGCCAAGCATGACACCATGTGACACTTTTCAAACCACCAGGTGGTAAAACATGCTTAAGTAAGAACGGAAATGCAAATTGTAACTGGCTGAAATGAATAAAAGCATTCTCCTTTGCTTAGATTGTGGTCTGGAATCTATGTGCGTTTCAGCAGCCGACCATCTCAGTGCCGCCGGTGCCGATCTCGTTTTTCGGTATGCATCATTAAATAAGGTTATGAAATTCATGATTTGGTAGGCAAGTTCAGGACTTGAATTTTACATAGGTAAGATTTACTTGTTACGTTGATTTAAAAATATAAAGGATTTTGAATTGCCTTTCACTCTTCTCAAAAATGCGAATTAGTTCTATGCCACAAGTTTATCACAACGGCTTTCACTAGGATTGCTTCAACTTGTTTCTGGTTAATTTTCGTCTCGATTTTCGTAGTTGATAAGAAATTGCCATAGAAGGAAAACAGACTGGCTTTTTTTGTATTTTGACTTGTGTTTCTTTAAACTCGATAGTTTGCGAGGGTGTCTGTGATTGTTAACAGACAGTTCATGATGAACCGGTCCGAAGCCTTAACTTTGTTTTCGTCGTTTTCACGGGAGAGAAAAAAACTAAAAATCAAATTGTTAGTGTTCAGATGATACCAAGAAAGCGAAAATTAGATTTTTCTTGAAGCCGCGGGCTTATATTTCTTATCGAAGGGTTCTTTCTGTTGACGAAAAATCTAATCTATGTGTAATATCTGCAATTACAATTAATAATCTTGATCACTGAGTTTATCAATATGCTGATAGGGCGTAGGATGTCATATTCAGCTTCGTATTTCCATTTATACGACCAATAGATTACACCATTTCTTTCAAGAACAGCACTAAATTTAATGATGGAAAGTATTTTCGGAATTATCACCGGTACAGAGAACACATTATTCGCTTCCAAAATATTGAAAATCTCTGTTAGATCATAACAAAACAATCCGCGGCTAAGTCTGCCGAAATTGAATATATAAATGTTTTAACATTATTTTTTCATATATTTCTGGCAGAAAAGTAAACTTTGACTTTCTCCTCTTGATGTTTTATCGTCTTTTTATAGAGATAGTTCAAGTTGGTCAAGTTTTCCGTATTTTGTGATCGAATTAGCTTTCTGTCTGACACAGGCAGACCAAAGTGAGATGCAGACTGACCAA